GCCGTTACAACTTATGTCTAAAAATGTATCGTTTCATACATCTGTTAAAACACTCGACTCCAGATACATGACGTGCAGCTGGAAACACTTCACGCAAGTCGAGCTGCCCGAGATTCACAGAATTTACAGAAAATGTTACATTTCTGTGATTTATATCGTTATCGGACGATAGATGTTTTATATCGGGAGATGAGATTTTGGTCATATCGCACAGCCCTATGCTCCATATGTTTACACACCAGAAGGTGAGTTCATATTTTACCCTGAACCACGCCCTTATTCTGAAACTGTCCCATTGCCGTCCCAGCATCTCATCACATGCCAGTCTTCACCTGTTTATGTTTTCAGTTGGAGTTTGAGATTCTTTTGAAGACTGAGGTCACAGATAATCACTCACAGTGCTGCACATGAGGTGTGAGCGTGCTCAGACGTGTCCACCTGGCTTTACTTCCTGTCATCGTCCTGACTCTGTGTGCGGTTTGTCGTTGCGCAGCCCTCCAGCAGCAGAGACCTATAATTCCCTGCGAGGGCACAACGCTGGGCGACCTGCAGCGCCTCTTGCTGGAGAGGAGGGGGCGGGTCCTGTCGGCGCCTGAGGACCAGAATATCGCCACCCACCTGATCCGCCACGCCCTTGGCGACGACGGGTACGGAGCGGTAGCTCCAAATCGTCTCGCCAAGATGCTGAGTCTGCCTGTGGATCTGGCCCGAAGGTACCGTGATGACATCACTATCACCATCATTCACCTGAATGAGATCTAACACCTGCAGGTGATTACCTGCATGGTAGTCACCACGCTGACCAATCAGCAGCAGGCGTGCTCATTCCAGCGCTGATCTTCATCCTTTTCCTTAACTGTATCCCAGCTCTGAATGGTCGAGGGGTGGGACACACCTGGACAGGTCACTGATCAGGTGTTTCTGTTATTTTGTCTGCCTTCAAGAAGAAACTCGACACACACACAGGTCTGAGAAAAGCTCCACGAACGACACCGGAGCGAACCTCACACTTCAGGTGTGGAGCAACACAGTGAGCATGCTCAGTGAGTTGATGTTCTGCACTTGGAGTGGAGAAGTGGCGCCACCTCCTGGTGGCACACTGAAAACACCTATCTCGCCCACTTCCTGAGGCTACGTCCACACGTACCCGGGTATTTTTGAAAATGCAGATTTTTCTATGCGTTTGCACCTTTCGTCCACACGTAAACTGCGTCTTCGGTCAGTGAAAACTGAGATTTCTAAAAATGCCGGCCATGGTGGATAATTTCGAAAACTCTGTTTTTGCGTTTACGTGTGGACGACAAAAACGGAGAAAACGCAGAAAACACAGCGTCAAAGGTGTGCGCCTTTTTTGACGTCACACTGTGCGCCACGTTATTGTTTCGGTGAAATGAATTTCTACAATACTGTTACTGTTAATTGTCTCTGCAGTGTTTAAATGCTTACATATACACACACAGTTACTGTCCCTCCACACATACGACTCAGTTCTACTTCTATGTGTCACTACCCGATCGGTACTGGAAACCCGATCGGTACCCCGCATGCACGAAAGGTGTCTACTTCCGGTCGAAGCGTTTTACGATAGTTACAGGTCAGAGTATCTGTTAAGATGTTAAGAATAATGAAACATTTAATATAATGTAGACAAAAACAAAAAAATAAAAAGACAGTTACAGATCAGGACTCCTTGATCCTTACTGCGCATGTGCAGATGTTTTCTTCTTCTTCTGTTTGTTTAATGGCAGTTTACTCCCCAGTGTACGAGGATACTGCCACCTGCTGACCGAGCGAATGAACCCTATTGTAAACTGAAGTAGCGTCATTACAAACGTGTGTTAAATTTGATTTAGTGATAGTCGAGTGTGTTTATGCTTGTCTGTGTGGAGAGGATTGTTAGAATAGTGATGATGATGTCCGCTATCACTGTCAGTTGCCAGTAAACACTTCATCTGGCTAGTACCATCAGGTAGTGACTGCTTCTATGCCCCATCCTTGTTTACTTTTTCCCACCGAGGCTTCTAGACTTCTGATTGGCCAACATTTCTACACGGTTAGGAATATATCGCCACCTGTTGCTTTGGCATGTTCCTAGCAGCGTTTTCCTTCATTTATGCGTTTACGTTTGGACGGGATTATTTTTTAAAACGAGAACAGAAAATCTACGTTTTCAAAAACACCCGTGTACGTGTGAGAATCACCAATCGGAGACACAGCAGGACTTCCTGTGAGGAGGTGATGGGGGCTTCTCTCTGTGCTTCTCAGACTGTTGCTGTTTTTACTCGTTAATAAAGTTCCTGTTTGACTTCCTGTAGGTCCGGCCTGTTTTTTTCACCAGAGTTTCACTTCCTGCTTATCCTTCAGCGTGTTAATGCCGGCTTGTAAACGATAAAGCAGCATTGAAACAGGATGCGAGAACTTACCTGCCTGTAGCAGAGGAGGGGGTTAAACAGCGCCATCTACAGGCTGAACACAAACATGTGGCGTCCCTTCAGAGTGGGATGAATTGATGCCCAGAGTGTAACCCTAACAAACTTCACAGATTGTCCCAGAGATTAAGTGGTTCCCAAACGTTTTTGCTCCCCCCCCTTTGTTTTACAAGAAAAAGTTTGGTTTGGAAACATATTTGGCGATGCTTCATCTCCTGCTTTGCGTTTGTGTGGGAGCCCCGTCAAATAGCTGTCCATGATGCTAGCAGTGTCCGGTGAGTCTGCTGGCCGTGCAAGAACTTGGAAGTTTGCAGCTTCCATTGTGTACAGATCTGCACATGTCAGCCTTTTAGTGGGGGGGGGTCTAAGGCACACCTGTGCGGTGGAATGGGTTCATGCACACAGATTTAGACAGATTTGTGAACGATATGAGAGTAATGAGTCTTTTATGTTTGTAGAAAATGTTTCAGAACTTGAGTTCAGCTCATGAAAAATGGGAGCAAAAACAAAAGTGATACATTTATATTTTTGCTCAGTGTATCTGCCAAAAGAAGCTTCATTATTAGTGGAGAAGCCATGAAATAACCATTACTTTTCTACTTCCTTCCTCACTGAATGAAAAGATAAAAATCCCTCCATGGCAGCTCTTTTGATTTCAGGTGCTCGCAGCAGGAAGCTCGGGTTACATTTAAAGCAGTGCAACTCCCTGAGGAAGAGGAGGGGTGGAGCTGCCCAGCTTGCAGTCCGGAATAATCCTTCCACCCAGAGCGACAGGTGTGGATGCTACCCTCCTGGCTGATGGAGATCATGTGGAGAAGCTTAGACGTCAATGTTTTTTTGAACCAGCAGGAGAGGACCTAAAGTCCAGTGTCCACTGAGAGACCCGTGTTAGTTATGGTGATATCGAGGTAAACACAGACCATCATCACTGACACACTGTAATCTACTGTGACCTGCTGCTGAATGACCTGCTCTGCTCACAGCCAATCAGATCGGGCGTGTGCCCGTCAGAATCAGACGCCACAGCTCAGAGTGACAGAAAATAAAATTTAATCAACAATTTTTACAAAATGAAACTCGTTTACAAAAACATTTAAACTGCAAACCAATCATGTCATCAGGCCACACCCTCGCAGCTCACAGAGCTCAATCACTGGACGATACTTGGGGGTGTGGCCGCACAGAGACTCTACAACGGGAAGAAACGGTGGCGTGGGGAACCAGCCAATCGAGACCGGGCAACATGTTTGTATCAAACAAACGGCTGCCGACCTCTGACCTCGGGAACCACACTGAGCATGTGTGACGACCAGCAGGACAGGGCGGGGCTCTGAATTACAGTGTCCAATCAGAGGGCAGCATTGACAACGAGTCACCGGCGTGGGGGTGGGGCCAGCAGCTGCGTCGCAGTGACACACTCCGGGAACAGGTTGTGGTAGGTGGGCAGGGGCACGTACGCCGCGGTGATCATTTTACCTGGAAGGACAGGTAAGAGTGTGTCAGAGGTGCTCTCTGATTGGCTGACCGATGACACACAGGTCATGTGACGCAGAATCTTACCAGCAAAGAATCTCCCATGCAGGGCGTTGACGGCAGCCATGGCGGCTGGGATCGAAGGACACTTGACATAGACGTTTCCCTGGAAACAGCAGAGGTCAAAGGTCATCGCAGTGAAAGTAAACAAAAGTCAGACTTTAGGAACAAACGAAGGTCAGAGTCAGGAAAATAAAAGCTTTGCCCCAATAAACTTCGCTCTCTCCACCGCGGCCGCAGCAAGGAGCTCACGACCACTGTTGAGTCGATAAGGTCAGAGGTCAGGTTCTTACCTCAGTGGAGTTTTTGTCAACGTAAATGTGAACAATGCCGCCATGTTTGTTACACTCCTCTATGACGTCATGCTGGATGTCCAGCTCCCACCCAGGAGCCTCCTCACTGAAACACACACACACAGGTCAGGTGAGGCCCACAGGTCCTCCTCCTCACCTGTGGACACACGTGGGCCGAGATATTTACCTGCTGGGGTTAAACATGTTGGACAGCTGGAAGCAGTGCGTCGCCAGCGGCTGAGACGGGAGGTTCAGAGCAGGAGAGTTCATGTTCATGTTGAGAGTCGGGTTCATGGCCGCTGAAAGAATCCAACACTTCACATCAGTGAACAGGAACCAGCAGGTGTGACACGAGTTTCTCGTGTTGCTCCAAATCACGTTAGTCATCTCAAGGAGCTTTATGATGTAAATAATACAGAGAAATCCCAATAATCATA